TTTATTTTAATACATAAATTCAAGCTTATGAATATGTTTATAGTGTATTGCAGAATTAATCAATCAAAAAAAAAACAAACAAAAAAACCCGCGTTTACGAAGGCAAAGGTCTGGACGAAAAACGTTTTATTTGCTTCAGTAGAACGTTTCATAATGAACTTATACCATTATCAGACAGTTCTGAAATCTAGGTGTGTTGAGATATATCAATACAAAAGAACTAAAATCTGAATACTATTTGAGAACATAAAGCTTATAAAACATTTAAAATGAGTTAACAGTAGACTAAGCACATATAAGCCCTGAAGTAAAATTTTACAGTATACAATAAAAACATTAATTTTATTGTGAGATGAACAGTAAGGCAAACAGGTTTATACATAGAATAGCATAAACTAAAAATATATAATTCCAATGTATTAGCTCCAATTTATAATACAATAGATACTGTTTGTTGGTTATTAATCATAAAACTAATTAGAGCAGTCTGAGTTGGAAGAATGTTTAAAAATTATTTAGATTAGGGCAGTCTTTCACAATTAGAAGACTTCTTTAATGAGAAGCCGAAGCTCTATAGATCCAGTTGTCAAAATGGGGAACTTGTTAATTGATATGTTATGACTTGTGGTTTCTCCATGTGATCTCGCTGAGTGATAGAGTTTGACTAAGTAGAGGTTGGTTCTACTAGGTACACTAAAGTGTGTATTTTCATGTATACAAATATCTATCAGAAATATTTTGAGTATCCATAATTCATAGATTCCAGAAATGTTATGCAAAGGAAGTACAAGTATACAAATGAACAACTACAGTTTATCCTTTATTTGTTATAATTAGAGTATTTGTTTCTATTACTTACTGGCTGGCTTTGGTTTGCACCATAACTCGAAAACTAATAGACCGATGTACACGAATTTACATAAGATGGGAAGCCAGTTTGGGGCAGTTCTCCCAAAATTTATTCCAGATCCAGATCCGGATTCTGGATCACTTTGAAGCATTTTTATAATGAGGAGATAGGTCATTTTCGCGGTTTGGGATTAATAACTCTGTAAAGTGTGATCGGATTTGTACCAAATGTCATGGGCACATATTAAGGTTGAGACTCCTCATCACTCTACAAAAAATGAACCTGAACCTTGATCATTGTGGACCAGAGAAGGGCTTTCTGAGTTTTCGAAGGTGAAAGATAAACGCATGCAATCTCGAAAAGGAGCGGCGGGGCAAGGGTTTGCAATCTCTTTAATTGCTATTGTTTTTAAATGCTTTGGTTTTGGGACTGTATATTTTACAATCACTACATGTGTATTTGTATATAAATCATGAGCAAAGGAGTGTCAGCAGTTAGGCCTTATACTGAAAGAAGTTTACGATTCAGAAATTAAATCTAGAAATAAATTTGAGCTGAACCTGGGGATCAGTTGTTTTTTTTATTGATATGGAGATTTGTTTTCTGCAAACTCTGAGAACCCTGGAACAGGACATGTTCATTTCGAGATTATAATTAGTTATTAAGAAACTTATATATGAAGTTAGTTAGAAAGATTGTTGTATATTCATTACGTTTGAAAACTTTTTGTACTAGATTAAAATATTTGTTTAGAAGGGTATAACTAGAGCAAATATTAAAGATTCTGTGAAAAGAGGACATAATTAGATTTCGTCTGAGCTTCTAGGAAACACAGCAATGACAAAACTCTTACACGATGGTACAAAATCTTAGGTGACTCAGCATGGTCAGGTGGTTAGGGCGCTCAACTCGCAATCTGAGGGTTGCGGGTTCGAATCCCTGTCCCACCAAACATGCTCGCCCTTTCAGCCATGGGGCGTTATAAGTTATGGTGAATCCCACTATTCATTGGAAAAAGATGACTAGCTGCATTCACTCTAGTCTTTTGCTGCTAAATTTGGGATGGATAGCGCAGATAACTTTCGTATAGCTTTGCGCGAAATTCAAAACAAACAAAATCTTATAAAAGTTTTGTGATAAATATGAACATTAACTATGTATTCATGACCCTTGGATAAACTGCTTGATGTTCTCTGTTAACAAAATATTATGTTTGTGAGTATTGTTATGCAAGATTTATGTGTTTGTTTGTAATTAAGCACAAATCTACACAATGGGCTATCTGTGCTCTGCCCACCACGGGTAGTGAAACTCGGATTCTAGCATTGTAAGTCTGCAGACATACCGCTGTGCCACTGGGGGCTATGTGTTTGGAAAAGGTCAAGGTGATTAGTGATAGCATATTCTATGTTGATTAATTTTTAGCTATATTCTAAACTGATCTATTCAGAAGCATGTGATGATTTACAGAGAACAAGACAAAAGTTTACTAAGATTATATCATCATACCACGTGGAACATATAGTGGACCAATTGTTTTTAATGAAAACATATTTGCAATTGTAGCAACTGAAATATTCATCTGTGTTGTGGTTTTGCCTTTGTAAAGTGAAATCATAAATATTTGCTTACTGAGAATGAAAGATAACATTGTGCATCTTTTGCTATTTATAATTTTTGCTTTAGAAATATCTTTGATTTTTAAAATTAAACTATTTCTGAACTTTATAGATTTTACTAAATTTTTAACTTGATAATATGTCTGTATTTGTATTTATGGCAAAACTACTAAGGCTATTTTCCACTATCTTTAATTTTGAATTACTGAATATTTATGTAATATTTAATTTGTGTCAGAAGGTAAGTTGCTTGTCACGAACAAACAAGTCACGCTTCTGATCTTTGCTTCGGAAGGTAGCCGAGACAGTTATAATGTGAGTTGAGCATGAAGTCAGAGGCTATCTGTTTAAAAGCTATTAGTATATGTGGTGAAATGTAATGTAAATAGCAATATACATGTCTAGATAAAAAAGTTTGTATGATTTCACATGCATGTGAGAACATTACACGAACTTGTATGAAATGAATGAACCGAATGCATTAATTACATGAGAAATAAAATTATTAAATTATTCGGAAATGGAAAGACTTTGTGATATGAAGTTCATTGTGATTAGGGTCTGTGATGTATTATTTTAAAATAAGTGTTATTTTCATTAATACATAAGAAATAATGTTTCCGTTTCAACATTGGAACCTTCAACAGGAAGTGAATGTTCATGAAAATATAAAAGTTATTGTTAGACTCACACTACTTTTGAGAGAAAACAAAGCTTAACCTGTTGTTATTTGAGAAGTACAATACTACCTCTGAGAGAAAACACAGTTCTAGTCATGGTTTTCCAGTAAGTTTGTTTTGTTTGTTTGTTTTTTGGAATTTCG